CTCGGCGACAGCGGGATCTCGCAGGGCGGGGTGAAGCGCAGCCGCGTGGCGTCGAACTGCAGCAGCCCGAAGTCGTGGATGGGATCGCGGTACACGGGGTAGGCGGGCAGCTCCTCGTGCTCGTCGAACGTTGCCCACGCCCGTATGGGGCCCGTCGAGATGATGTGCCTGCGCGCCGCCAGAGAGCACCCGCACCCACGGCCGCTGGAGTCCTGCCCTGGGCTCCCCGGGGAGCGGTGGCCGTGGGCACCGCTCCCGCGAGGGGGGCCGGCGGTTGTCCGCGTCCACCACTCCTCGCCTCAAGGGGTCCTCGGGGACCTCGGAGCACACGACTCCGATGCGACGGACGCGGGTCCACTCTGGCGGTCGGAGCCTGTTCGTGAGGATGAGCGCCTCCGTGGGCCGCTCCAGGCTCACCACGAAGCCGGTGCCCTGCCAGACGCCTGCGGGGCTGTCCTCGAACGGCCTCACGCCCGTCGCGCGTATGGCCACGATAGCGCCCTTGACCTTGTCGATCACGCCAGCCCACTCGGGCGCAGGGGCCGCTGCCGCAGCGCCGACCACGGCGCGCGGCCCACCTGCATCGCAGCTATCTGCGAGGCTCTCGTTGGAGAACGCTTCCTCTGCCCCCTCGGGCCGCGGCCACTTCGCCCTCGGCTCCTCGCCCGAGGCCCTCGCTCCGCCGCCAGCGCTGGCGTCCTGGTCGGGGGGCAGGCCCTCCATAGCGGCGCGGGTCCCTGGCCATGACGCGCGCGCGCGGGCAGCGCAACAGCCAGCGAGCTCCGGGGCCAGGGCGTGGGGAGGAAAGAGGGAAGCGCATCCGGCGGACCTGAAGGCCCCGCCCGCGGCGCGCTGCGACCAGAGCCCCACACACGGCACACGTCGTCGTGCTCGGGAGGAGATCCCCAGCTCACGTCGAATGACGGCGTGCTGCAGTCGCCGTGCCATGCACGGGCATGGCAGGCGGTCCTCTTGATCGGCAACCTGGCCCCAGAGGAAGCATTGTGAATGGTGACTTCGAGTGCCTCACAAAAATGCGGCATCATGGACGGGACTGCTTAGAAGGTATTACATAAACACCGCAGTCCTGGAGTGGAGTGAGAGGCTTCCTGCCCGAAATCTGCCCAAGCACACCTTTCGACATCCCGGCAGCGCGCGCGGCGACACGGCGGTATCAAACAAGAGCCGCGCGCGGCGACACGACGGCGTCAAACAAGAGCGGGCGGGACCCAAGTCTCAATCTGCCCACACACAAGCTCCGACCAATTCACTCTCAGACCTGCTCGTACCGCAATCGACTCAAGCACTGACCACTTCGTACCCGTTCGCTCATACACGAGCGTTTTCAATTGCAGACCCGACCGTATTACTCCGATTGGTTCACACTCATACTCTGTCATGCTCAGTAGATTCCGACAAGAGAACGGTTGACAAGAGTTGTACGCACGAGGAGATCAGCCCCAGAAGAGTGGACTGATACTATTACTGGGCCGCCCAATCCGTATACACCTCCCACTACCGCTGCTTCTGGGTACGTTAAGTCACGGCGGGGGCAGGTGCTATTGATGGCAGATCCAGCCGCGGTGGGTCGGGAGATCATGCTGGTGGCAGGATCAGCCGCGGCGGGCGATCTCATTTGAGTGGCCCTTTCACCCGCGGTTTGGACATACATAGGCCAATGTGCTGGCCGCAACAGGCGAGGATATTTCGGAGCCATGTTTGGCAGAGGTGGACGAAAAAATGCGAGTGACACTCACAGCCGCGATGCTGAAGGACATCCTGACTGTACCGTCTGCCTGGATGGGTGGGGACATCCAGGTGGTGATTCATCCAGCGTGGCACTGCGACCAAAGGTGCCGTTGTCCCTTCGCGCTGGACTGGTACGCGGCCCAGGGGCGAGGTGCCTGGTGGTAAAGTTTGGTCAGTGAGTCGTTGCCGCCCGCCCCCCCAAAAAAAGAGGGGCGCTCTGGGCACCTACGAGACCTGGGGAATCTTAGGCGAAGGCTGTCCTGCGAGGCCTCTGGGATCCTCAGGATTCGAGCCGGCCCTTTCATGGCTACGACGTCTCAATCGGGATGCCTTGGGGTCTTCGCACCCACGGCGATATGCTTGGGCCTTCGGGGTCCCTCTGCGGACATCGCAGGGCCTGCGAGGCGCTCCCAGGAGCGACCAGAAACGAGCGCAGTGCAGGATCCTCGACCTACGGAACCAAATGAGACTCGTCAAAAGCCGTGGTGGCGTGGTGGGCACACAAGCTCCCAAAGGAGGAGGAGGAGGAGGAGGAGGAGGAGGAGGAGGAGGGTCCACCTTGGGAGCATGTGATGGGTTGCTGGTTGCCTCCAAACATTGATCCTACACGGTTCTCCGACGTCTGGCGGGAGCCTTGCCCCTGCCGAACGCGTTGCCGAATTCTCGCTTTCGCCGCGCTGATGCCACGGCGGTTCTGGCATCGTGTACGGTCCTTGTCGTTCCCCTCTGGACTCCCTCCGCCTTTCTCATGTGGGCCCCTACTCTTCAATGGGTTTGCTGGTCTTCTGGTGAGTCTGGGGTATATTCAGCCACAGAGCCGAAAACCCCGCAGAAATCGAGCACGACCACAGACTCCGGTACCTGCGTGCGGACTGGTCAAGGGCACACGTTGTCGAGCTGAAACAATGATAGAGGAGGTGGTAAGGCAAAAGCTTCGCTTCACCCCAAACCAAGTGTAGGACAGAGTTCCTTTCGCTTGTGCACGATCCGAGTGCCTCTAGAGGTCTACCATAGGCCATCAAGGGGTACCTCTACACGCGGATTTCCAACTAAAGCCCCAAGAAGCCTACAAGACGGTCCCAAACTGCCCAAAGAGAGCCTCCAGACGACCCCAAGACAAGATAACCTTCCAAGACGGCCCAGGAGGTCTCCAAGACGGCCTCATGACCGAGGGAACGAGGCTGAGCTTAAGACACTCGCGCATTTAGACCGCGCACTGAACCAGCGCGGGCCTTAAACTCCAATGTTGTTAACGCTGCGCTTCTGAATTGGCACACTCCCACTGTGCTACCTAGCCGACTGATAGCCGCCCCATCGGGGGGGAGTCCATCTGGCCACTCAAAGAGCATTGTGTCGACGACGTTTCAAATGCGCGACAGGAACGGGAGGCCGTGCACATCGCACGGGAGGGCAAAATGTCGCGTTCGACCTGACGACGAATTCGTGTTTCTTGAAAATTGGCTTGCCGCTTAGGCGCGGTGCACATTCTGGGGCTCGCCTCTTCGTCGGCAACGGGGTCGCGCGCGAGCAAGCGAAATGAAAAAGGCGCTGACGGCTCGGGGGCGGCGAAGAGCTACGCTCGCCGAAAAGCATTTGGGAGCGGGACCGCGCGCAAGCGGTCGACATGTCGCCCTCGTCTGCGGCTCCGTGCGGATGCCGCGTGGAAGCGGCGTTCCCGCTGGGGCGCGGCGCGGATGCAACCCGCGCGCCGCGTCGCCGGCAAAGCGGCAGCGGGGCCGCGCGTGCGAGCGGGGGAAGTGTGTCGTGTTCGCTCGAGCGCCGAGCAGACTTCGCGTGAGGGTAGCAGCGCTGCCTTTTGGGGCGACGCATGCTTTGTCTCCGCCGCTCTGCCCAGAAACCTACCCGCTCGAAGGAGGGAAAAACCGCGCTCTCGCCGCAGCGCCGCGCAAAGTTTTCTCCTGCTCTTCTCCCAGTACCCCCCCCCTAAGAAAAAAAAAGAGAAAAAAAACGCTCACAAGCGCCTTCCATTCGCAAGGTGGGAACGCGTGCCAGTCCCAACATGAGGTTGCACCAGCACCAGTTTAGGCGGCACGGCAGGGAGGGCGAGTGGGCAGGGCCCGCTGACTCACTCGGCCTGGCTGACTCGATTCCCTCTCGTAATCCTGCTCCCACTCGTGCTCCTATCCGTCGTCAGCCTCCCGCGCACGGGAGGGCGCGCGCTCGAGGGAAAATCCCCAGTCAGGCCAATAAGGAGGGGGCGACCTAGGCTTGGCTTGGGCGTTTCCTCGAGGGGAAAATCCCCAACCAAAGATAGGGACCCACATTCTTTTTCGGTCTGGTTGGGGCTTCGGAGAACCGAGGGCCGCCAGGGAAGCGAGCGGAGCGGGAGAACCCCCCCCCTCCCGCGCCCTCCCCCCCGTCCAAACATCTACTGAACCCGAGCATGGACAGGCGCGTTCCACTACTCGCAAATCTACTAACTGCTCGCAAATTGCCTGGATCCGCCGCGGATGATTTACGATATATTACATAGAGGGAGACCTGCATATTTCGGGCGTTTGCGAGTGGGCACTTTGCGAGTAGTGGAACGCGCTCGGCGAGAGTAGAAGTAAGAGGAAGAGGAGGAGGAGGAGGAGGAGGAGGAGGAAGAGGAGGAGGAGGAGGAGCGTCTTGGCAGGAGGGAACGTCGAGAACCTCAGCGCCGTCTGGGGCTCCCTTTGCATGGGGCCACGAGGTTGGAGCACGATGACCAAAAACAAGCTAGCAATACCTCTGTGCCGCCCGGCCGGGCAGCGAAGACGGCACCTCGACCCCGAGCAACCACCCAGGCCAGGAACCCACCAGGTGTGAGCCTCCGTGGTAAGAACTGCTCAAACCAGACCCCCCCCATCCAATCCCCTCTAATTCCCCTCTAATCCTCTGGCCCCCATCCAATCCTTCACCAAACCAGAGCCTCCATTCCCCTCTAATCCTCTGGTCCCCATCCATCGTCGAGGTGGCAGCGGCGGTCGCTGCGCCATCGGGCGTGCCAGGCAAGGCACGGGCAGGGAGGGAAGATTTGGAGAACAATAGCTTGCAATGCTTAATGCAAGCACGGCAGGCCTTCATGAGCGAGGATGGAAGACTGGGGAAGCAAGACTGCAGCGTAAGGCAAATGGGGGGTACCCACGACGAGGGGGCGGGGGATAGCAAGACAAGGAAAACTCAGGGTCTAGCCATTGCAATCACGATACGGTCGGACTGTAGCGTATCAGGATGTGAGAAGGGCGGGGGCGACCCGCGGCGAGAGAACCTGCGACGAGCCCTGCAAACAACAACCTGATGTCGTGAAGGGGCACCTGCGCAGAGGCTCTCAGCAAGAGAAATGACGGCTGGTAGCTCTGAGCCGCCTGCGAGGCGCTGCTGGGGGGACGGCTTGGGAAACACAGCGGGGCATCCCTGGGCCGCCTAGCGAACCAGTTGGCCCAGGCATTCTGCCCCCCAGAGATTGCATTCCGTATCCAGCACTCCCTGCGTACGAATCGTCTCGGGGTCTGGCACAAACGACGGCCGCGCAACATTCCGTCGCATGGGTAAGCGTTGCAACACGCGCTCTAAGAACTGCCCTCAATCGCGGCGGCACGCGGCACGGTAGAAAAGCCCCCGACTTGCTTCTAGATACCAGCCAAGTGAATTCTTGGCCATTGCAACGCGGCGGTCCTTCTGAGGCGAAACTTGATTCATTCGATGATTTGGCATCTGGTTCGGACTTAGCAGATGCTTCAAGAGACTGTTACCGCTCGGGTAAGGTGTGGGGGCCAGGCCCCGAAGCAAGCTCCACGACCTCCTCAAAGGACATTGCCGACCTGCGCGCTGACATGTATTCGTTTGAATATCCAGCCTTGTAATATGCTCGAGCACGCATCTTGGTGAGTGGCAAAAAGAGGGGCTCAAAAGAAACCTGGTCTGAGTTAGCTGAATGAGGCTCCTCTGCGGGGGTCATATGACCCTCCTCTTCCTCTGGGCTACGTGGCAAGCAAAGGGATGGTGAGCAGGGGCGTTGCTCCCTGGGCTCCGCCCTCCCGAGCCGTTCAGAAATGTCCCCTCTGGTCCTGCTGGGGAATTTTGCGGACCGCGGTCGGGGTCGTCCCATCGACGCCTGTGGTCTGTGGCAGCCCTCCTGTGAACGCCAGCGGTGCTAAAAGGGGCGTGCGACTCCGCTTGCATCAGAGCCATGGCAACCCGGTCGACGCAGGCACATTGAACTCTGGCTCGGCGAGCGCCTCGAGGTCGAGAGCGCGCGCCTGCCAGAGCCTGCTGCCCAGGATCGGACCGGCGAGGAAGACGGCGAGTGGATGGCTGCGGGATCCCCGCATTCCGCGTACATCCCAACGGCTGGCTCACTGGTGGCTGCACCTGTGGCACCGTCGCGGTCGGCGGCGGCCCTGGTGGAGCCCCCAGAAGTGGGTTCGGCATCAGGGGTGACCCTGGCAACGGCTTCAAAACGAGTAGCCAGACCTGCAGCGGCCCAGGCAGCGGCCACACGGACGGAAGCAAACTCGGCCGCGGCTCTATAAGAGGTAGCCCAGGTGCAAGCCCAGGCATACACCAAGCGACGCCAGACAGTGGCGCATCTCTTGGCGAGGCCTGCGGCGGCGGCGGAGCATGCGCCAGGCGGAGGGACGTGGAGCAGGAAGAGGAGGAGGCGGAGGAGGAGGAGGAGGGAGGGGAGGAGGAGGAGGAGGAGGAGGAGGAGGAGGCGGAGGAGGAGGAGGAGGGGGAGGAGGAGGAGGACGAGGAGGAGGAGGAGGGAGGAAGAAGAGCAATGAGGAGGAAGCAGGCCTCCTTCGCCCGAAACCTGTCAAGACCCCATCCTTGGGCGGGGTCGCGTCCAGCTGTGGCGACGATGGCCTGCATAAAAGCACAAAGACCTCCAGAACGCCGACGTCGGCGTTGACGACTTCGTCCGTTTAAAAAACGCAACTGGACCCCTCACCGGGTCCATCCTGGCAGTCCGTCCGTCACGGATCCACTTTCGACGGCCACAGGGACCTAAAGGGCCCTCTCCGAAGCAAAAAATAACGAAAAACCTCCACGTCGATGTCGCCGCCATCCTCCTCCTCCTCCTCCTCCCCCTCCTCCTCCCCCCCCCCCTCCTCCTCCTCCTTTTCCTCTTCCTCCTCCTCCTCCTCCTCCTCCTCATCCTCCTCCTCCTCGTCCTCCTCCTCCATTCCTTTGCCTTATCAATTATTTCTCCCTGTCGCAATCCGAGGCCAGTCTTTGAGGCGGGTTGCGCGGCTCGCCGAAGACTTCCTCACCATTTACTCCTATGAAGCTCGAAAACTGACAACAGCTTCACACATGGAGGGCGGGTCGTTTCAAAATGTGGCTCCCGCCGTAGCGCCGCGCACATTCCTTCAAAAGATGTGCAAGAGGTTCACGGATTGAGGGCGAGTCGTTTTCAAAATGTGGCTCTCGCCTTAGCGTACATTCGTTTTAAACAATTGCAAGAGCTTCACGGGTTAAAAACGAATCCTTTTCAAAATGTAGCTCTCGCCTTAATGCCGCGCACATTCAATTACAAATCTCGGCGTACCTTCCTTGCGTACCCGACCCCGGGCGCCAACGCCCCAACGATGGGTGCGGCGACCGAGCCAGGGCTGCCGTCCCGCGAGCGCCCCGCGTGGGGGGTGCTTTCGGTGACGCGCACAGTCCCCGACCAGGCCAGCCTGGGCGTTGAACCCCAAGGGCGGGCGGGAGAGGCGGACAAGGGGCCGCCAACGACCGAGGCAGCCCCGCACCCAGGAGCGGGTGGGTGGGGCAGAACGGCCGACGGGCCCGCGCCGCGCGAGCGCCGCACGAGCGCGGTGCCCAAATCAATATAAATAGACAACCTGCGAAGCGAGCATCGCCAAGGCGCGCCGCGATCCGCCCAGTGCGCGATCCCCGCGGCGCGCCTGCGCGAGCGACCGCGGCAGGCCCGCGCGAAACAACACAGAAGCGCCAAGACGCGACTGCGGGCGACGCGCGCTGCGGTCGGGCTGCATGCGGCGCGCGTCGCACGCGCCGCGGCGCCGCAGGGCCCGTCGGCCGACCTGCGATTTGTGCCCGCGCAGCACCCTAGGGGCGCGCGCCCCCCGCGCAAATCTCGGCGCACCTTCCTTGTGTACCCGACCTCGGGCGCCAACGCCCCAGCGATGGGTGCGGCGACCGAGCCAGGGCTGCCGCCCCGCGAGCGCCCCGCGCGGGGGGTGCTTTCGGTGACGCGCACAGTCCCCGACCAGGCCAGCCTGGGCGTTGAACCCAACGCCGCAAGCGCCCAGGCTCGCCTGGTCGGGGCGCGCCAGGCCTGCCGCGACCCAATGCAACCTCGGGTGCAGGTCGCAGTGCGCGCCGATCGTGAGCCTGGCCGACTTACCCCGCAGGCACCGATGCAGAACCTGGTCTGCTCGCCGCGCTGGCGCTTGGGCACGAGGCTGCGGCCACTGCTTCGGCGGTCGCATCGCCCTCGTGCTGGTGCATATCAAGGTATTCTTTGAAGGCGCGGGAACTCCAATCGGCACCGCGGAGGATCTCGCAAAGTCGGCCGTTGCACCTCCGCCTAGTCTCCGCGTGCCCGCGGCGGAACGCTCTGCTCGTAGAAGAAGCCGCGCTTGGTGCGCCGGCGTGCCGCGCCGCCGCCCTGATCGCGCGCTGCACGGGCACGGCGACTGAGACGACGCCGCTGCCGTCGACTCGCCGCATATGCGGGAACGCGGGCGAGCCGACGCAAATGCCCTCGAAAAAACTACGCGCCGCGTGCACAATGCAAGTCGCACGCGAATGCTTGCACCAGGAATTCCGCACCGCGACCGTCGGGCCGTCGCGGTGCTTACGCCGCGAGAAATGCAACGTTGCAGAATCGCCCGAAAAGAAAATGACGACTCTTGCGACTGGCCTTCGCAGGTCTTCGTCAGAGAAGGCGAAGTCCTTAAATGCCGATGGGTCGCCTCGCTCAATCAAGAGGGCCTCGGAGGGCACGCGCAGAGCGAACCCCCAGGACACCAAGAAGAGCGCGCACATCGCGCTGTCGGCACTTACAACGTCGAGCATAGCCGATAAGTGCGAGAGCAGGACGAAACACTTCAGCGGCCGCCTCACGGGGCGCCGCTTCCCGATGGCCTTGCGGGCGCCCCTAACCGAAGGATGCGAAAAGGCCGACGCGTCCCGGCCCAACAACTGGCATGCCTTCTTAAGCTGTGCCACGTAATTGCCGAAGGTGCGCGGGTTGCGAAATTCGAGCGCGAACAAGCACACCTCGTCGGCCGACGGCGGCAGTGCGCTGCAGCCGTCTCTGTTGAGGCGACGCTGCGCGAAAGCCACCCACGCCCGGACCGCAGCCCCCCAGGACCCGAAGGAACGCGGCGCCGAGCCGACGATTGCCAAAGCTCGCGCGCGGGCCGGGCTGTCCTGCATGGCCACTGGCGACGGCGGCCCGCGAGCGCCGCTCGCGACGGACTTGCGAGGGCCGCCCGTGGGCACGGGTGACAATTTCACGCTGCGCACGGCCCTGTAAGCGCGCGCCAGCTCTCGCTTCGCCGCGCTGTCGCACGCGGCACCCGGCGCGAGCGCGCCCGGGCCGCCGCGCGCGAGCGCCGGTTGTTTCAGCACACGGGACGGCGCTGGAGGCGGCCCGCTCGGCGGCCGCGGAACTCCCGCCGCGATCTCACGCAAGCGCGCTTGGGCGTCTGCGGAGAAACGCTCAAAACCTGCTACGCGTTTCCACTTTGCGCCGCGTGCGTCAGCGACGTGTTCGAAACCGTTCGCGACCAGTACATTTGCAATCAGATCAACTTCCACATCATTGCCTGCGCGCGAAAAACGAGCGACTGAGCCTGGCGGCGCGCGCGATGGCCGGAACGCCAGGCACGCCCGCCCTGCGCAGTCCAAGCGCCAAGCGCGTCACATCCACGCCACCAGACGACAAACGATCGGAAACGCGACGCGCGGCCGAGCAGGAACGCCCCCCCCTCGCCGCGCGACCGGCGCTGGCTGCAGTGGCGGCGCGCGACCGGGGGGGGCGCGGGGGGGAGGAGGAGGGGGGAGGGGGAAGGGGGGCGAAGGGCGGAGGCACAGGGGGGGGAAGGGGGGGCCGGCGCGAGAGGAGGGAGGGGGGGAAGAAGGGACCGCACTCCCAGTGCGGCGCGCGCGGACGCGGAGCGGAAGACGCCGGGCGCTCCCAGCGCGGCGTCCAACCTGCACGCGGACGCAACCGATGATGCAGGGAAGCGACAGACGATGAGAGCCCTCCCTCTTTTTGCTCAGAGCCACAGCGCCTCCCAGGCCTCGGCTGCGTGAAACCGCGCATCGAGCACCGCTGGCACCTGGCGCGCGCCGAGCAGGTGCAAGAGACTGTAGACCTCGCGGGACGGCCCGTCCGAGATGTTGCTTTTGGACGGGACGCGGCGCACCCACATCGACAGGGACATGCGCGCCGCGAGAGACCAAATGCCGCGGACGAGGGCTGCGTGATCCCAGTCCCGGGCGCTCGCGCGCGCCACTGACCTCTCGGCCCCCGAATTGTCCGAGAACACTTCCAGCGCCCGACCTGCCAGTCGCTCTTCAAAAGACGACAAGCCTAATGCGACCGCCAAGACCTCGAGGCCCATAATCTGGCCGTCGCGTCTGCGCTTGAAATTCCGCATCAGAGCTGCGTCGGGTGCGTACTCGGCAAACAGGATTTCGCCGTCTATAAAAAGCACGGCGGCGGCGCGAGGGGGCGTGCTCCGCGCATCGCAGAACATGTGTGCCGCGGGCATGTCCCCTTGCTTCCAGCTGGCCACTTCGCGCAGCCTGAGCTCGAGCACTTGGGCCCACCAGTGCAGCGCGAGCTCGAGAGGCCGCCCGATACGATTGGAGCGCTTGTGCTGGTGCGCGAAGAGTGGGCGGAGCATTGCTCTGCCCAAGCGCTTAAACAAGCGCTGCGCGGCCCATGCGAGAGCGCCCGCGAGTTTCTTCGCAGCGCCCTGGTGCAACGTGCCGCACTCTAAAGCATGCCGGATGGCGGACGACCACTTGAGCCGCTTGTCGCACGCTGGCTCGCAGTGTACGCCCTGCGCACAGAAAGAGAAGAGCAGCCCCAACACGACCAGCTGGGCCCCGTGCGCCAGCTTCGCGTCGGCTACTGCGTCGCTGCCGAGCGCGGCTCTGACGATGCGAGCGAAGCACCGCATGGCGTGGTCGGCCGCGCCGGGGCGATCCGGCGCAAAATAATCGTCTACGTATCGCGAAACTGGCAGCTTGGCGAGCCGCCTTGCGAAGTGCGAGAGCATGGCGGCCACGCGGCCCCAGTCGTGGCAAGATGCTAGCGCGCCGAACGGGCAGACCAGGTGCTGCGAGCACCACAGGCGGCCGCCCTCCTTGAAAACACTGACAGCGGCCCACCTATCGGCGGGGGCCAGCAGGATGCGGCGGTAAGCGGAATCTATGTCCGCTTTCCACAGCTCGGGAAATGCGCCGTGCAACTCGAAGAAGGCGCGCACGACCGCTACCAGATGGCCCGCGCCCTCCACGCTTAATTTCTCGGCGGGAGCGCACGCGCCGTTCACCCTGGAGCGCGTGAAGTCATCCACCGGGCGCACTTTCAGCGACCCGTCGGGCTTCGGTTGCGAGACCCCAAACCTGGGCACCAGGCGAATTTTTTCGCCCCAAGCAGCGGCAAGCTCGGCCGCGGAGATGTCGGGCCTAAAAACCCGCGGCGGAGACATCCTACCCAAGTCCGCCCCCCCCCGCGTCTTACGGAGCAGCTCGCCGGCGAAGGGATCCTCGCGACTTGATGCAAGTATCAAGTCGTTGCACGCGAGCGCGCTGGCACGCAAACGGGCTACCTCAGCGCTAGTGTCGCCCGCGCGCTCTCCCGGGCTGAGCGCGCGACCGTTGCCGCTGTATTCTAGGTTACCCAACAGAGGGGCGCCTCGCGAGAAGAAGTCGATGCACTCTGCGTCGTGCCACTCAGACTCACGCGCCAATTCCTTGAAAAGTGGAATGTTGGCGCCTGCGATAAGCGGCCTGAATTCCGGTGGCGCAGCCTTTCTCGCGGCCTCGGCCTCCCGGCATGCCTCGAAGTGCGCCGCCCGGGCTTCGATGCGCCGAACGCGCTCCTCGCGTTCTTTGATGCACTGGCGTAGGCTACGCGCGGCGCTCCACCGCAACGCTTCCATGCACTCGCACTGCGCGTCCGTGCGCTTCGGCTGCGCGTCGCGGCGGCCGAGCGCCTCACGCGTGAAACCCAGCGGTGAGAGTCGTTCGCGGGCTTTCCCTTGTGCTCTTTGCCGTAGCCCTTGGCCTTGCCGCCCTTGGCGCTGTGGTCGCTGCCGCCTTTGTGGTCCCTGCCGGCGCCCTTTGCCTTGCCCTTCGACTGCGCTGGAGCTCGGTCGTGCGCCACTTGGAACCCGCGGGCGTCGCACTCGCGCTCCGCCCGGAGCATGGTGGCCGCGCTCTGCGACTGCGCGGCCGCGGCGACGTCGAAGGCGCCCAGGCCCGCTGAAAGGTCTGCCCATTCGCGCCGGGCAATCTCGTCGTAGAGGACGGCGATCGCGGTCGCGCGCCCAATGGCCCGCGCCGACAGGGCGAGCTGCATCACGACCTCCTTGTGGGCCATGGACGCCGTGAGCGGCATCTGACCGGTGAGCGCCGCGACGATTGCCCACCTGTGCACCACTGCAGGATGCTCGGCAAGTCCCCCTGCTTCTTGTCGGGCCCCCTCGCCTGGCAGATGCCGCGAGCGATCTCCTGCGCGAAGGACCGCTCGACGCCGCGCTCCCCCTCAGGATCGTCGGGCTGCCTCTTGTCCGCCGCGTAGAACGGGGGGAATTTCTTGATCGGCATGTAGAGGAAGGGCTTCGCGATGCCCTTGCTCTCCGCGGCCTTGACCTGGCCCTGCGCCCAGTCGGTCAGTTGCGGAGACGGCCAGCACGACGCCGGCAAGCCCGCCAAGGTCATGCCGCCCAGGCCTGCGGCGATGTCCACGTGGACCGCTGGCTTGCGGCCGCCCTGGAGCGCCTGCAGGAGGGCGCTCGCCGGCCCCTGTGAACCGCTTGGCGCCGCGGCCTCGGCAGCTGCCTGCTGCTCGGCGGACTTGGTTGCCTTTGCGACGGCGCGCTCGAGGAAAGCGACCTTGCCCTCGACCAGCCCGTTGAGCTGGAAGGTCGCGGCCCTGACGTTGAGTTTGACCAGGTCCTCCGGACTCTCGATGCCGTTGGTCGCCAGCACCTCGACCACTGGCTTCAGCCACGCGCGGTCGCGCTTCGTGCGCCTGCCCACCCCAGACTCGAGAAGATCGAGGAGCGGCGCGGACATCCCTGACATCCACGCGTTTCAATTTAATTGAAGCGCTCGCAGAAGACACAATTTAAAATCAAAACTATCAGAAAAATCAAAGTTGAAAACAAAAATTGTAACGCAGGGAGTTGATCCGATTCTACATACACTGGTACGTATACATCACACCATCACGTCGCTCCGCTACCACGCGTGAGTTCGCGCGATCCGCTACCAGCTGCGAATCGCAGGGCGAATGGCCTCCGCCGCGCAAGCGAACTCCGCTCCGCTACCATGCGCCGCGAAAAGAGGAGGGTCAGGAGGAGGAGGAGGGAGGGAGAGGGGAGGAGGAGGAAGGAGGAGGAGAAATCACATGAGTCATAACATGACTCCAAAACGCGGTCTTTAGGCGCCAGCGAGCGCCAGCACGTCCTCCTCCAGGAGCACCGAGTACCAGCAGTGCCTGTGAATTCGGCGCTCTGAGTTTCGTTAGAACCCCTATGGGGCCACGAAGCGTCTGAGTGACGTCGGCGTCGACGCCCACCACGCCAAGCAGACCCAGCGGGGATCTGCAAAGCGCCTGTCGGCCTCTGGCTCCGCGCGGGCATGAAGATCGAAGCACTCGGGGACGCCCTCTTCCCGCCCAGCTGGGAACCGCCACGCGTGCCGGCAGCGCCCAGGCATGGGCAGTTCCACCCAGCCCGGCGCCCACCAAGGGTGGCGGGAGGGGGGGCGCGGCGGCAGGCTCGGCGGTTCGGGCACACAGCGTGCCATCAGGCAGGCGGGTTGCGGCCCGCTCAGTTGCCTGGGCGGCCGTGCAAGTCGAGCGCGCAGACCGCCCCCTGTAGCCAGCACCCTGGCCACGGGTATACTATCAGCATAGGCCCGCCATGCCCAACGCGCGCGGATGCACCCAACGGGGAAGGACGGCTGCGCCATGGCCGCCCGCAGGCCCGAGCGCGCAGCTCGAGCTACAACGAGTGGTGGCGATGATGATGATGATGATGCCGATGATGATGATGATGATGATGATGATGGTGATGATGATGATGATGATGATTATGATGATGATGATGCTGATTATGATGATGATGATGATGGCGATGGTGATGGTGATGGTGATGGTGATGGTGATGGTGATGATGATGATGATGATGATGCTGCTGCTGCTGATGATGTCAGGCTCCATAGGGGGCTAGGTGCCTTGGTTCAGCAGCTCGCGAATGGCCCTCTTGCGCTTGGCTACTGCACGAGCCCTCGCCCGCATCAAGGCCTCCACCCTGACAGGACCTGCCTGAGACGACTGTGAACGGATGGCGTTAAAGTTGTGAGTAAAAGATCATGCATTAGAATGGTACCATGCAAGGCTCGGCTGGACGGCATATGAGGTCTCAACAGCAATCGATCGAGAGCATTCCACTCGAGAAAATCAGGCGGCAGCGACGGGATGATACTAGGAAGCAGTGGCAGCAGCACAGGACATTGAAAGTAATGCGTTATGTGGTCGGAGTCTGCGGCACCGCAGCCCATGACGCAACAACGGTTCCCTGACCGAAATCTGGCCGACGTGGGCCACGCGTTACAAACAGATTTGAGGAGAGAGGAGGCAACGAAGGGGGCTTGTTTGGTAGCGGCGAGGAAAATGGCTCGAAAAATAAAATCGGCGTGGCTTACGGGGGCCTCACTCCAGAACTTCCGAATCCTTGGCAAGAGCAGGACTGGCATCGAAGGACGTCCCTGATTTTTGGCAACGGCAATGGTGACTTTTCGCTGGACGTCGTGCGTATATTCGTTGATCGTCGGGCAAATCGTCGTGAGCTCGTTCCAGTTCTTAATCAGGGAGCCGCACATAGACTCCGCAAGCCAAGACTCATGCCGAACAACAGCCAGCCGTTCGACATCTTCGTGCTCAAGAAAATGCAGACGCTCCTTCACTCTCGCGAAGGCTGAACTCTGGAGGGCGATCCGAAACATCGCGGCCTTGTTCGTGGCCTGGAGGTTGCGGGGCTCGACAGGGAACCCAAAGTCCAGGGAGTTCTTGAGGACCAGGGTGGGGATGGCGTGCCTCGGACCCATGGTCAGCCTTTGAAGAGCGTTCGTTTCGGCTCGGATCACCTCGGGCCTAACCGGTAGCACCTGCATCAGGTACGTCAAGATCGAGAAAGCTAGCGAGTTGTAGGCGTAGATGTTCTGAACTAAACCGAGCTTCAGCGTCTTAATATGCCCGATCCTGGAAAGAACTTTGACCAGAACAAGATGCCACGAAGCCGCAGGCCCAGTCGGGCCGATCATTACCCCAAGATATTTCCCGTGGGTGCCGACCTGGAAGGACTTTATGTTGATCCCCCACTTTTTGAACTCTTTATTTAGCTCGGTTCTGTCGAACTCCACGGCAAGGACAATCACGCACTTCTTCAAATTCGGGAGCAGACCTGTCACGATCGAGCTCCTGAGAAAGTGCTTCATCATCGCGGGCAAGGACTGCCTCAAGTCAGCCATCGCAGCGCCAACGTCGTCAGCGAAAGCGAACGGGGAGGTAGGAGTCGGTAAACGTGTTAAAATCCTTTCCAGCTTCCGTAACACGGGGTCGAAGGCCAGGGCGAAGAGGGCGCCCGAAAGAGGGCACCCCTGTTTTATGCCGCGGGTGATACGGTACCCAGGGAACCTTTTTCCAGCAAAAATGATGAAGGAGTAGAGGTCGGAATACAGCTGGCCAACCGCGTGAAGGATAAAATCGGGGATGCCCATGCGTTGCAGCACGCGCAGAATCCACCTGTGGGACAGCGACGGAAACGCCGCTTTCAGGTCCAGCAGGAACAGGCCGGCGAAAGGGCAGTCGTTATAACATGCGTATTCTAGAAACTTGCCTTCAATATCGAGGATATTGTCGATCAGGTATCTGCCTTTGACGAAGCCTTTTTGCATCGGGTCGGTTGAAAATACTGCCTGCTGTCCCATGGGAACACAGATCGCACTAGCCAAGAGCTTGTTGTCGGTGTTGCTAAGCGTGATCGGCAAAACTTGGCTAGATGGACGGACTATAGACTCATGATCGTTTGGAAGAACATCTTTGGGAAGAAACACCGTTTGCCCGTGATTAAACCCCGAAGGCAAGCTGGCTCCTGCACATAATGCTTGGTATGCTTCAAATATCACTCGGTGAGCGCGCTCTCCTGCGTGTCTCCAACACGAATATGGAATTCCGTCAGGACCACAAGCTGATTCGCGGCGACTAACGACGATCCCTTGGAAGGTCCCGAAATCGATTTCCCACTCAATACCAGGAGCAGCCCGAGGAATATCTTCGGAAAGCTCGCACAGGATTTCCAGAAATTTCGGGTGAAGCCCAGGTCCCTGAGAATGAACCTCGCCCCAACGTGTCGCCAGCGCTTGAGCACTTTCTTCTAGAGAGCCAAGAGGGGGGCCGTCAAGCGCAGATACGCCGCTCAAGTTGAGACGCCGCCGCTTCGGCGACCAAGATTCCAGACGCTGGTGAAGTCGAGTTCGCTGCTGCTCAACTTCCTGTAAACCGTGCTCAGCGCTAGGCAGCTTCGCGAGATCCTCCAGGATGACCGCGCTGCTGAGCTCATTCAAATGACCATGGAACGCGTTATAGTCGTAATAACTGCAGCTGTCAGAATCAATAAACCTAGCCAACTCGGGATAAGCTTTCATACACTTTTTGACCCAGGAAGAGGATTGGCTCCAGGACGAACCAGGAGAGTGAGCCCGAAGGGCCCGCATGGCTTTTAAACACACAGCGATCTTTTGCTTGTCGGTCAGGACCCCGCCCTTGAACATCCGAAGTGTCAGCTCCTCCCTAGCGGCGAAAAATGCTGCTGCTGCTGATGATGATGATGAGGATGATGATGATGATGATGATGATGACGCGCCTTGAAAGGTCGGTTCTCCCAAAACACAAACCTGAGAAGCCACCAATACGCCAAATGCGTACGGTAGAGAAAGAGGGAAGGCGGGCAAGAAGCGGGAGAGGAAGGGGCAGAACAAAGATGAATCCCAACCCAGGATTGAAACCCAAGATACTAAACGACAGCATGAATGGAGACTGCCTGTCCAATACTGAAAGAAATCATGATTGAAACCCATGATACTGAAAGAAATCGTGAATGATTGAAACCCATCCTAAATTGAACCCATGATACTGAATGAATGAAATCCACCACCAGGACCCTCTCGCTTTGAATAAAGGTGCGAGCAATGAGGATGATGATGATGATGATGATGGTGATGGTGGTGATGATGATCACACCGATGAGGATGGTGATGATGATGAGGAGGGGAGGAGGAGGATGAGGAGGAGGAAAAGGAGGGAAGAGGAGCAACGAGCAGGACAAACCCCATTGAAGGGGCAGCGTCGCCCTCCGTTCCTGGGATCGAGGAGGGGGAGGAGGGGAGGGGAGAGGAGGGAGGAGGGAGGAAGCGGAAGGAAGGATGGCAACGGGAAGGGTGGGCGAGGAGGAGAGGAAGGAGGGGCAGAGGGAGGCACGTGGATCCGCCCTCGGGAGAGCTCGCGCCCATCGTCGCCCCTGGTCCTGCGCCAGGGCCTTCCTTGGGAGGGATGTGGGGGAGGAAAGGATGGAGGAGCAGGAAGGGGAGGGCGAGTGGGATAATGCACTGGGATCCGCCTTCGGGCGAGAGCGTGTCCATCGTCTCCCCTGGTCCTGTGCCAGGCCTCCCTCCTTCCTTTCTCCCCCCTCCTCCCTCCTGGCCCCTCCTTCCTCCTCCCTCAAGCAGACAAAGGGAATGGGCACCCAGGCCGGCCCCCTGGCAGCTCCAAGGCGCGCGCGGTGCTGCTCGCTCGTTCGCTCCCTGCTCCCCGACACGATGAGATCTGGCGTGTTTTCCTGTCAAGTCGGGGATGGCCTCTCCAAAAAACTGTAATAAAAATTCGAACCGTGATGCAATGACTTCGCTATGGAAGCCATTACACGGTTCTCGTTTTCATCCAGATACGTCCAATATCTGCGGGGGTTGCCCTGCACATTCGCGCGGAGCACGAGATGGAGAAACACGTGGTGTTTACACACCTCATGCCCACCCGCCCGCTTCCAATAATGAACGAAGGCAAACGCGCAGGCCTCAAGATCCCTTTGGGCTTCAGGCGGCATGCGCCGAAGGTTTACCCGAACTATATCGTGAAACCTTCTCATCTGATCACAGCAGTGGGGCAGAAACACAGCCATGCCTGCAAAGAGGGATCGGTGCTCCCTGCACAGCTCTGGCAACAGATGGATTAGCTGGCGGGTTTCGGCCGCCTTGGCATGCAGTCTGGGGTTGTGAGGAGCGCCCAGCATCTTCCATGAGAGGCGAAATATTTGAGTCATCTGGCCACGACGAAACATGTTTTTGTTTGCAATATAATATGCCTTCAAACGCTGCCGCAAAAAAATCATGTTGTCTCTGCGCCGCAGCTTCACTGCGCGAGCGGTGCTGTTGGCACAATTGCCTTCCACGAGAATCCACAGAACTGCACCGCACAGGTACTGGCTGATGCCAAGGTCCACGACATGCATTATGTCCAGCGCCAGCATTGCGATGCTGAAACCAATCACAGAAAATATGGGTGCCACGAAATTGAGGCCAACTTGGTTGGCAGAGTCAAAAAATGTAAACTCTGCTGGCTCCTCAGGCGAGCACGGGATTTCCATGACTTTGTGCGTATCTCTGACGGGACCTGTTTGCAGCAGACGCCACCCCGAGCTCAACCCTAAAGCTGGGCAGGCTCGCCAGAGGCCGTGCCCCCCTATATCCTCATCATGTCTCATGCAGTCGACTAGCGTTTTCAATTCTGTCTCGTCTGTGATGAGGACCGTTTTGACACAGGCGCGAACCATTTCACTATACATCGCCTCGTCTTTTTCTCTCCACGTGCAATCAGCGCGGGAACGTGGATGCTTAAATAAATCTTCTTTTCTGACGTCGCAGAGAAAGCACGGATGTTGTACGCGGCCCCATCTTTTTACTCCGAGTGCTGTTTGAAACTCCAGGAGGTCAGCCCTGTACTCAACCAGTGCCCCCCGAAGGCCGCATGCCAACTCCAAGCCTCTTTTGATTTCGCGGTTCTCGTTTGAGAACGGTTCATTGTTGTGACCAACTGAAGGAAAGATGCCACCTGCCAGGACGTTCAGGGACCATACTATAACGCGCATGATGGCACCGATCGTGCAGGCAGCTTTACAGCCGCAACAACAACAATCGGATTTTCGAACAGCTGTGATAATGTGCCGCCTCTGCGATTTTATGTTACTCCAGTAAAACACAGGAACGTGTCTTTTTTTTGAAATCGGCACGCCGTCTGAATAAAAGCCGATGGGAAAAGATAGATTACCATGAGCAACTGTAACAGGATGATTCTGATACTGGGGTGGTATCTCATCAGGCCCAAGATCCTGCAAATTGAAATCTTCGGGATTGGCTGCGAAGCTTGCTGCGAAGGATTCGTGAGGGAGAGAAAACGGGAAATCGATCTCGACTCGCGCCTCTGTCACTTTGTCCCATACAGGGATGGGCGCGTTGAAGAGAGCATCACCACTATTCAAATTCAGCGCATTCCTGATGTGCTCCGCATGATGGGTGCTCTCGGGGTGCAGGGCCAAATCCCCCACGCCCGTTCCACCAGATCTCATCGTGCGGTACGCGATTGCGCATACATCCTATGGCTAAACACACCCGCGCCCGAACGCCCCCCTCAGAATATCCAACAGTCAGTTCTTTTCCGTTCATGTCTGTTCCCCCCTCCCCGTCCTCTCACTTCCTCCTTCTGCTCACTCCCACCGTCCGTCGACCCACTCTGTTCCTCTTCCCCCGCCTTCCCATCTCCCTCCCACGCCTCCAGAAACCGTTGGCGGTCATCCGAGTGGTTATATTCGGGGTGGCGTGTTTAGCCATGCGTCCTTGCTGGTGACTTTCCCCTCTCTCCATCTGCTCAGCAAGTACTCCCTCAACCCAGCGCCACCATCGTTCTCGAGAGGGCCATCCTGCGATCGGTCTCAGCAAAATCGTTTCCCCACGCATATCCCAGGAACGTTGGGGGTCACCGTACTCGGATAACAACTTCCTCGTCCATCTCCTCCCTCCTTCATCCTCGCCTCCACCCCTTCCGCCCCCCTCAACCTCTCAGGGGGATTTGCTGTGGGTGTTGATTTTGCCAATCCCACCTCTGGGTCCATATCCATCGGCCGCGGCAGCATTCCAGAGGCAGCTGCAGGCAGATCTTACAGAAGCATTCGGGCGGCAGCTGCCCGCCCAGAACTCATCGCGATAGACGCGTGCAGACCGGAGGATCTCTAGCTCCGAGGTGCGGCGCACCAAGTTACAGCCTCTCGAGCAAGAGCGGCTTTGGAATGCACCACGGCCGATGGACGCCCGAAATCACGCATTGGAAACTATACGAGCAAACAGTGTTATATACAATTATATACACGCAACTCGTGATTGGACCGATGCTGAACATACAAATGCCTATATCGCATCCTCGGCCTCGCGGGCCGCGGGAGTTTTTAAGCATAGTTTCCATGCTCCACGTGTAGGCGTCCCTCCATGCCGTTCCCACCCGCCCCATTCCTTCCTTGCCCGACTTTCCTATCTGCACTGGTGATCCCCCCCTTTATCTTCCCCCTAATCTGATCAGGCCCTGCTTGAGAAGATAACTCTCTGCAGCAGGATGCGACAGTTCTTTCGAGCTCCCCTCAAGCTTGACGAACGACGCTGCAAGCAGTGCACGCTCTTTCTCACACGAGCGCGCGGCGCACCGCACATCGCACCACGTCCAAGTATATGTCTTTCCGCCTTCCTACCTCTACGTGCCATAGGGTCCGAAACTATCCGTAAAACCTCACGGAAATAACAATGCCTCAAAACATCATGTGGATATCAAGCTTCACCCAGGCCCGAAGCCAAGCATGACTAACAAAGTTTGGGACCCATGGCAAAAGAAAAATCGAATGCAATTCCGCGCTAAAAAACAGCTCTCTGCACTCGTCGGCGTTGCTCGCAACACCAAGAAAAAAAAAACCTATCCCTCCCGTATGAGCCCTCCATGGGCCCCTGCTTTCGGTCACGCTGACGCCGCTGCCATGCTGTCGCGAATCTGCGTGAGCTTCCCGTAGAACGCGCGAGCCTCCAGTTAGGGCAGACACAGGCACGAGGAATGCAATATTGCAGCAAACGACACATCACCCAGGCGAGGCGCAGAGTACATTTATACTGGCTTAGTCGTGCCAATGGTTACGAATGATATTCGATGCTTACCTGTTGAATTCAAACAATATCCTGCATACCCCCGACAAGGCAAGCCCCCCGATCGCCTCGACCAGCTTGGTGTTGATATCCTCAACCTTCATGTCCACGCCGTCCGACCTACCGAGCAGCTGCGGTATGCAACACATTGTATCGACACGTGCTATGCCTCGTTCTCATCCCCCTGCTATGCCTTAAGGTTTCCGCATTCCCCCATGTAGACCTCCTCCTCCAGTGTTTGTCATCTCGTCCGCTCTCCCCGTCATATCGCTATCGACGCTAACAATCAACGCTTCACTATACCACGTCATCGTCCAAATTGCCAACGAGAGCGGCAGGGCCGACGTCTTTCCCTGAAGATTCGCGATAACGAAGTCCCGAATCTCGATCATACGTCCCTTGTGCTCAGAGATGGTCGCTTCGAAGGGCTTCAGCCACGGGAACTGCTTCGCCTCCCCTCTAGCAGCATCCCTTGGGGTCTTCCTCCACACCCCCTCTCCCATCAGTTACCACTGGGCTTCTCGTGCGACCCCTCATCTTCCTCAGGAAGATTTCCGACGACATCGGAAACCTCGAGGTTTCCGACGTCGTCGGAAACCTCCGCCTCATCCTCATCATGGCTCCTCCTCATCATCATCTTCATTCCTCCTCATCATCTTGATTCCTCCTCATCATCATCTTGATTCCTCCTCCTCCTCCTCATCTTGATTCCTCCTCCTCATCATCATCTTGATTCCTCCTCCTCCTCCTCCTGGTGAATATAAGGGGGGGATGGGCGTTGATAAGAAGGTGGAGGAACAGGGAGTTGCTGCAAGGGAGCGAGGTAGAGGGAGAGTTCGCGAGACCGTTGAGGGAGGGACCTCTGGGGCGGGCTTGGCCCATCCCGCCCCCACGGTCAGCGGGTCGAACAGCGAGAGGATGCTGGCCGTCTCGCCGAGAGCCTCGGGGTAGGTAGTAACCTGCTTGACCTGGGCCTGCGGATCCTTGGTCTCCTGAGCGCGTCACTCCATCGCTCCCTCGATCCGTCCTCGCTCACTCCCTTCACCCCCTCCTCCTTCGTTCCCTAGCTTCTCGCTCCATCCCTGCCTTGTCCCAGGCTCCTCCGACTCGCTGTCAGAAGAATAATAGCTGCTGGACGAGGGCGCGGGGCGTTTCGAGATCTCGGTCTTCACCTCCACTCCCCACTATCCCCGTGATCAATGCTCCACCATCTTCGTGGCCCTCGCATGTCATCATAGCGCTCGTTCTGCCGCACAGCGCCCATACCAAACCGAAGTTGTGGGATCATGGAGCACGCGAGAGATCAGGTAGTGAGGGATAGAGAGAGAGAGAGAGAGAGAGAGAGAGAGAGAGAGAGAGAGAGAGAGAGAGAGAGAGAGAGAGAGAGAGAGAGAGAGAGAGAGAGAGAGAGAGAGAGAGAGAGAGAAGAGAGAGAGAGAGAGAGAGAGAGAGAGAGAGAGGAGAGAGAGAGAGAGAGAGAGAGGAGAGAGAGAGAGAGAGAGAGAGAGAGAGAGAGAGAGAGAGAGATGAGAGAGAGAGAGAGAGAGAGAGAGAGAGAGAGAGAGAGAGAGAGAGAGAGAGAGAGGAGAGAGAGAGAGAGAGAGAGAGAGAGAGAGAGAGAGAGAGAGAGAGAGAGAGAGAGAGAGAGAGAGAGAGAGAGAGAGAGAGAGAGAGAGAGAGAGAGAGAGAGAGAGAAAGGGATAGAGAGACAGCCATGTGGAAGGAGCACCTCCCTCTCAAACCTCCAGAGCGGGCTGTGCCAGCGGCGCTGCACTGCGGCCTGCGCTGCCCGAGGCGCCCGACATCTGCTCCAGCGCTTGAGGGTCCGTCCCCACCGTGGTCTCGATCTTCTGGCTGTGGGCCTGGCGAGGGCTCGGCCCAGAGAAAAAAAAACCTGAATTATCTATTCCCCCCCGAAAGTCAATACCAAAATGAACGTCAAGATCAAGCAGTATCTTCACCGTACTCCTGATAACCACTAGCATTCAACACTTGCACCTTACTCTTCAATCAACAACATTCAACACTGACAAAAAGTGCGTTATCCTCTTCGCCATCTTGATCCCTCCTCCTCCTCCTCCTCCTCATCGTGACCCCTCATGTTGATTCCTCCTCCTCCTCATCATCGCGATCCCTCCTCCTCCTCACCTTGATTCCTCCTCCTCCTCATCTTATCCTATACTCATCCTCATCCAGCCCCTCTCCCTGGCGGGGCGCGCGTGGCTCGTCTCTCCGCGCTCCGTGATGCGGCAGTAGAGCAAGTCGCCAGTTTGCTTGTCTTTCTGCCCGGAGCACAAATGGCAATGCACCCTTTCTTACTCTCCCTGAACCACCCCACACTCCCCTGATCATCGTTCCCCCGAGTACGCAAGCGCATTGACCTCAGGACATATCAAGTTGGCACTGACGCGTCCAGCTTAAATCTCAAAAGGCGCTTCCATGTATCCTGGAACCTGCACCCTCCATCCCCTCCTTCACGTGAGTTTTGGACATGGCCTCGCAGGACGACTTGACGGCTTGGGCACGCGCTTCTGCCCTGGAGTGAGAGCCCGCGAGGCTACCGCTTCAGCTGTCCACATTGCCACTGCCGTCCACTGCAACTGATACCTTATCGATCGCTGCTCTTGCTGATCGCCGTCAACATCGCCTCAACCAGAACATTGAATTTATCATCATCGTCGTCAAGCCTCCTACTCGTGACCTCCCCCTCTCTCCCCCTCTCTCTCTCTCTCTCTATGTATCTATATACCTCTCCCTCCGCCCTCTTACGCCTCCACCTCGATCCTTACACTATCGTTCCAATCTCCGTCACTACCTACGTCTCGAACTCCCCCTCTATGGCCCCATCAAACATCAAATGCACAACGTAAAAAAAAACTCCTCTGGCCGTACTCGCTTTTGGCATTTTCTGGAGTCCAGCCGAAGTGTTTCAGGAGCCCATCAAAGTTCATCCAATCGTCCAGGACGGAGTCTTTCTCTTGCTTCTCCCTGCTCTCAGTCTTCATGCACTCGGCATGGTTGAAGTTGCCTCAAGGGGCAATGGGTGATACTGCTGAATCGACGCCTCGCCGCCACAGCCACTGCTGATCACCGCAATTGCTAGCCAAAACGCATCACTAGTCAATCAACGGTGTTGCTGATGGTGCTCGTATCTCCCTTTGTCTACATCCCTCCCCCTCCTGTTCCTCCCCGCCTCGTGAAACTCATGATCCCCTCCGTCGCTGGCCTGTCTCTTGCCAGGTTTGCAGCCACTTGTCCTTCGCAGGCCCATTTGGCATTGACTTAAATTCGAGCCTGAGTTCTTTCTTGTGCTTGGCCATGTGGATCCTGACTGACGCGTTCCCTCGATATGCCTATACGTCACTATCCCTCGTCAGCATCCTCATCATTGTCTCTCCTCCTCCCTCTGATTATCCATATTACTGAACTCGTCATACACGTACTCCTCCTCCTCGTCCTTCAATTCCTCATCATGCAGGTTCCTGCCTCGATCGCCCTCTTGCCACTGCCAGGTCTCATCAGGAACTCCCTTTTCTACCGGAAGCAACTTCCTCGAAGAACGCAAGCAATACTTGGGGCACCCAGAAAGCTGAACCCATATGCGTGCATACCTGTGTGTGCATGGGTTTTATATACATAAATATATGTATATATATAATATACATATGTGTGTGTGTGTCTACACATATGTGTATATACATATGTCGCTCCGCACAGTCAATGCAAGCCGGACCAGCACGAGGTGTCCTCAACCGTTGCAGCTCGTTTTCGTGATCTCTGGTCTTTGGATCCGCTCTGCGTTTCTTCGCGGCTGCCTTTTTGTCTGCATCCGTATTGTGCTTCTTTGGGGGCATATCGCCTCCCGCTCCCGCATGTAGCGTCGACGCCAAATTGCGCGCCCCTCGCGATGCACGGAGCGACTGCCCTTGCGTGTGCATGGGCGAACAATCTACAACCAATGCGCTGGAACAAAACAAGAGATCACACGTGTAGTTCCACGGGCATCCCTGGACTTCAAATTGCTCATGCAATATTCAGACACATGCGTTGCTACTACTGCTCTGAAACATCCCCATCCGACCCTCCCTACCACATCCCCAACGTACCATCTCCCCAACTTCCCATCTCTCCCTCCACGCATCTCTCCTGCCGATCTGCCCACCCCCACCCCCGACGACATCTTCACGACTCCTCCCTTTTTTTGTTGCAATATTCAGACATAGGCGCGCGGGCGATCTCCCCGTCGCCTGCAGCGCGCTGCCCTAAGGCACAGAAAGGCACGTGGCCGACGCACAGGGGGGGGGGGAGGGCGATCTAGGGAGTTCAGGTTTCGGGCGGGCTCGTGCACGCACGCACACATGCATACATAGATTATATATGGAGGTCGGGGCCCAGGTAGTCGAGCCATCGCGTTTTTTTTGGGCGCACGACTTGTCACTTTCGGTTTTCCACGCTGTAGGTCGACCCCGCGGAGGCCCCCTGGCCGCTTCGGTCCCGCCATATATGCCCCCTCGGGGCCATTCCTGAGCCTCTCGCACGCGTCCAACGCCCCCATCGCGGCGCCACGACCCCCCCAGAGGGGGTGGGGGGGGACTTAGGGCGCGCGGGCCCATCGAAACGTTACGAAAACATATAAAAACATATAAAAACATATAAAAACATTGAAACATATAGAAACATATAGGAACATATAGAAACATATAAAAACATATGAAAACATATAAAAACATGAAAACATGGAAACGTTATAAAACATATAAAAACATATAGAAACATATAAAAACAAATAGAAACATATAAAAACATTGAAACATTGAAACATTAAAAAACATTGACACATATAAAAACATATAAAAACATATAAACACATATAAGAACATAAACATATTGAAACATATAAAAACATATGAAAACATATAGAAACATTGAAACATATAAAAACATATGAAAACATTTAGAAACATTACATGGAAACATAAAAAAAATCAAAACATATAAAAACCTATAGAAATATATAAAAACATATATAAAAAAAAAAAAAAAAAAAAAAAAAAAAAAAAAAAAAACATTACACGCGCACCGCGCACATGGAAACGCATTGAAACACATTGACGCACGCTGGAAACGCTTGGACGGCCTCATGGCACACAGGGTGCATGGGATGGGGGGGTGGGGTTGTGGCGGGCATCCGATATCGCGGGGCGCGAAGGGCCTGTGGGTGGGGCTGCATGATTCATGGGGTGTGTCGGGGTGGCCGTTGGGCTAGTGGATGGGGGTTAAGGGTTGGGGCTTCTTGGGGCGGGACGTGTGGTTCCGCGTGTGTGTGTGTGTGTGGGGGGGGGGGGGGGGGGGGGTGGGCGTACGCTGGGCGGGGTCGCGCGGGGAGCGGGGCACAGGGAGTGGCCATGGCCCCTTGTGCGGCGCAGTAAAGTCAGTGTAAAAGTCCAAAAGAGAAGGCCCATGTGTTCATGTAGTGACCAGCTTGGATGACGCCCAGGTGGACCTGGGCGGCCAGGGCGCTCTCTCGCTGCCAACGCTCCGTCGGTACTCCTACAGAGCCCCTTCCGCACCATGCTACTCCCCCCTCATGCCCGTACCCTCACATATCCTCCCTTCAACGATCGATGCCCGCACTCTCACATCCTCCCCTCCCCATGCATCCTCACCTCCCCGACACTGTACATGTGTATATATATATCTACATATATATACATATACTCTGGATGTGTGCTGGGTGGGCGTTGGGGTGGGCGTTGGGTGGTGGGGGGGAGGGGGGTGTTTGGCTGGGTGTGGTGGTGGTGGTGGTGGGGTGGGGGGGTGGGGGGGGGGGGGGGGGGGGGGAGGGGGGGGGGGTGGTTGGTGGTGGGTGGCGGGTGGGTGGTGGGTGGGCGGTGGGTGGGTGGTGTGTGGTGGGTGGGTGATGGGGGGTGGGTCGGTGGGGGGTGGGTGGTGGGAGGGTGGTGGGTGGTGGGTGACTGGTGGGTTGATGGTGAGAGGATTGTGAATGGTGGGTGGGTGTTGGATTGGTTATGTGAGTGATGGGTGGGTGGTGTGCGGTGGATGTGTGGTGTGTGTGTGTGGCTGGGTGATGGGTGGATTGGCTTGCCTGTGTGGCTTTAGGCCGTTGTCGTGGGTTGTTTGGTTTTGTCGGTTTGTTATCGTTGATAGTTTGTCGTTGTTTGTTTGTTTGTCGTGGTTTGTTTGTTGTCGT